AATGATTGAAAAATTGGATGTGTTTAGTTTGGAGAAGCGAAGACTCAAGGGGGAATGTGATTATAGTCTTCAATTACATAAAAAACTGTTTTAAAAGAAGAGCATGATTAATTGTTCTCCATAGCCAATGAGGATAGGATGAGAAGTAATGGGCTTAAATTGGAGCAAGGGATATTTAAATTAGATATTAGAAAAAGCTTCCTAAATGTAAGGATAGTTAAGCACTAGAACAAATTACCACAGAAGCTGTGTTATGTGACTCTGTACCAACCAGAAAGCTTTATAAACTAACATTTCTCATCTTCATAGAAAGTCTGGTCTATAGTCCAGTTGGCCTGGGACCAGCACACTTCCTACCTGGCTCCTCACGATTCCCTGGAAGCAGCAACATGTCCCTGCTGCTCCAAGGCAGAGGAACAGATATAAGGGATTTGGGGTGGGCTCTAGAAGGGAATTTGGATGCAAGAGGGAGCTCAGGGGTGCGGAGGGATTTTGGCAAACTAGATCCGGAGGGCGCTCATCTTGGGCAACTCCCCTCAAGCTTGTCCTTGCTGCTCCTGGTGGAGGCATGATTGGGCAGCTTTGTGCACAGGGTGGCACCTGCAGATGCCACCCCAACAGCTTCTGGCCAATGGGAGCTGTGAAGCCAGCGCTCAAAGTGGGGGCAGTGCATGGAGTTGCCTAGCTGTGCATCCACTAGGAGCAGCAGGGACAGGTCACCACTTGTGTGCAGCCATATGAGGTGAGCCCCTTCTCCCAAATCTAGCACCCCCAAAGCCCTTCCATGCTCAAACTTCCTGTCCTGATCCCCCCTCCCAGAACCAGTGGCTCACACCCCCTTCTGTAGCCACAATCCCTCTCCTCAGTTAACTAGAATTTCTCTCTTACCGGCACTCTCTCCCCCCTTCTCTCAACATGCTGGATGAAAAAGCTTTTACTGAACCTAAGAAGGTTATGGAATCTCTGTCATTGTCTAATCTGTTCTTTAAAAACCTCCAAACAACTGTCGGGGATGGTCCTGGTAATATTTAGACTTGGATCAGTTCAGGGGACTAGATACATGACATGCTGCAGTCTCTTCCAGTCCTATATTTCTATGTTATCACCATATGGATACCCTGCAGTGCAGCTCATTTCATGATCAGATGGAAAGACTGGAGTGAGAGATAGAAGGCAGAGAGATAGGGGCAGGAAGAATCACAAGAGGGAGAGAAAGACAAGCAGGATCTCAAATATATTAGGTTGGGATCCTCACAGGTGCAGTGTTAATGCTCAAGTTAAGGTCATAATTCAAAATGATCTGGACAAACTGGAGAAATGGTCTGAGGTAAACAGGATGAAGTTCAATAAGGACAAATGCAAAGTGCTTCACTTAGGAAAGAACAATCTGTTTCACACATATAGAATGGGAAGCAACTGTCTAGGAAGGAGGATTGCAGAAAGGGATTTAGGAGTCATAGTGGACCACAAGCTAAATATAAGTCAATAGTGTGATGCTGTTGCAAAAACAGGAAACATGATCGTGAGGTGCATTAACAGGAGTGTTGTGAGCAAGACACGAGAAGTCATTCTTCCGCTCTACTCTTAGCTGATTGGGCCTCAATTAGAGTATTGTGTCCAGTTCTGGGCACCACATTTCAAGAAAGATGTGGAGAAGTTGGAAAAGGACCAGAGAAGAGCAACAAGAATGATTAAAGGTCTAGAGAACGTGACCTATGAAGGAAGACTGAAAGAATTGGGCTTATTTACTTTGAAAAGGAGACTGAAAGGAGACATGATAGTGGTTTTCAGGTACGTAAAAGAGTTTCACAAGGAGGACGGAGAAAAATTGTTCTCCTTAGCCTCTGAGGATAGGACAAGAAGCAATGAGCTTAAACTGCAGCAAGGGAGGTTTAGGTTGGACATCAGGAAAAACTTATCTGTCAGGGTGGTTAAACACTGGGAGGTTGTGGAATCTCCATCTCTGGAGATATTTAAGAGCAGGTTAGACAGACATCTATCAGGGATGATCTAGATGGTACTGGGTTCTGCCATGAGGGCAGGGGACTGGATTTGATGACCTCTCGGGGTCCATTCCAGTCCCACTATGCTATGATTCTGTGAAGAATATCAGTTACTGCACAAGTGAGTAACATTTGAAGTGTAAAAATGTAATAAGAAAAGCCAAAAAGGAGGATTACCTAAGGGTAAAGGTTACCTAAGGGTAACGCTACAATGGCTGTGAAGGCAGACGAAGGCTGCAGTGGACAGGAGACACCCAAGTTTTCTGGATTCCATGACATTGGACCCGGGCCTTCTATCCATCAAGGAGTGTGTGGTGGCTGCAGTCTCCCCACGTTAAAAGAAGTCATGCACAAGCATCTTTCTATGCACTACTCTCCTAAGCTTGAGCCCTACGGTGACTGACGAAATCCAGAAGCTTTTAGTCATGGACCAGCACGTAGGTGATGGATTTGTGTATCAGTTGTTCCATTTTAAGGACCAAGGTGGTAGAACAGTCCGGCAGCTTCATACATGACTGAGCAGCTCTATTTAGGATCTGCGCTGCTCACCCCATATGGGGAGGGGTCTAGAAAAGGTGCCCTAAACATAGTCCACCTCAACCCTTCTGACTAGATAACCACGTCCAGTGGGTTCACCTCTATGCAGTCAAAATCTAAGGTTAAATTTTGGAAGATGGAATATTTGGACTTTAATGGACAATCCAGATAGACCCATGGCAATTATCGCCCGCGAGCTCCGATGATTTCACATTCACATAGCTGCCCTGACAAACGTGTAGACCAGAAGGAAAGCTAAGAGAAGAAAGCAGAGGGTACACCTCTTTTTCTGGAAAGGAACCCCAAAGGAAGAAAAACGAATTAATGGAGTAGGATTTGCCACCAAGAACGAACTGACAACGATCCTATCTGAAGTCCCTGTCAGCATCAAGGAACCAGTTTGAAGCTTGCCAAATGACTCTCCATTTGAAGCTTGCCAAAAACCAACAGGCAAGTGTCGTGAGCACTTATGCACCAACTTTAGATGGCGAAGATGATGTGAAGGAGAACTTTTACACCCAATTGGACACAGTCTTGACAGGCATCCCCAAAAAAGAGAAGATTATCCTGGGAGATTTCAATGACAAGGTCGGAAGAGACGTGGACCTCTGGCAAACCACCATTGGAAAAGAAGGAGTTGGCAATAGCAACTCCAATGGAGTGCTCCTCCTTACAAAATGCGCAGAACATGAGCTTGTCGTCACGAACACCCTCTTCTGCCAGAAGAAAAAATTTAAGACCTTATGGCAACATCCTCAATCGAAGCACTGGCACCTTATAGATTATATCATCATCCGCTCTCGGGATCGGCATGATGTCCTTCTCACGCATGCAATGACTTGCACTGATGACTGCTGGACAGATTAGGATTGTCACCAAACAGAGAACTCAGAAGAAACTGAGCCAATGAAAGATCAACGTACAAGGCTTGAAGGACCCCACCAGATGAAGTCACTTCCTGATAGCACTCCAAAGGAAGATGCCGATAGTACACCCTGAAGATGTGGAAGAACGCTGGTGTCAACTGAAAAAAGCCATCATTGGAGCTTGTGGAGAAACCATTGGCTATCAATCCAGGAAGCATCAGGACTGGTTTGATGAGAATGATGTGGAAAGTGAATGTCTGATTGAGGTAAAAAGGAAAGCCTTCAGAGCCTGGCAAAGCGACATCAACTGTACAAAGAAGAGAGAAGCGCATGCCAAGGACAAGGCAGAAGTCCAATGCAAAACAAGGACTCTGAAAAATCAGTTGTGGACTGAGAAGGCACGAGGGCTCCAGTGTCTTGCAGATATCAACAATACGAGAGGTTTCTTCAATGCCACCAAAACTGTTCATGGACCGAGTGTTACCCGCACAAATTTCTCTATCCCTTTCACACTGTAGGGACACACACCTTTACCCAGTTCCTAGAGCTCAAGGTGCAACTCTGTGAATTTACACACCCACCCTTACCCAATTTCTAGGGCTCAGGGTGTAATAACCCGTGGGTTGGCAGGATCTTTAGTCACTTGAAAGAGCCTCACATAGTAATATCCTTATCCTCTATTTATTGACAATTCCCAAACAAGCAGAATGCACATTGGTGAGCGTGGTGTCATGCTCACCAATCCTGATAAAGGCAGGCGGACTTCCCCTGTCGGTCAGGCAGTATCAGTTTCTCTGGTCTTAGGCTGTGTCTCGGAGGTGAGTTCTGGTTTGCAGGTCTCCCCGCCCTCCTCCTGGTCCTCTTCCAGCCTTTTCTTCCTTTAGTACTTCTGATGATCTTCCTTCTTCTTCTTGAACCCCAGTTTATATAATGAAACCTGAGTCTTGCTTAGCTATACCGTAATCAATTATTTTAGTATTGTTTTACTAACCAATCAAAATTACCTAACCAATCATTCCCCACCACCTTAATTGATTTACACCTAGCAAAATTAATTATACAGAAGACAGAAACAGTTACAAACCAGACAGAGATCACACAGTCAAACAATAGGAAAGTGTAGTGACAATGCTCATAGAGTGAGGATTCCACATCCTCTATTGATAAGCAGTTTCTTGCCAGACAGAATGGTGTTACGCACAAATTTCTTTACCCATCTTGAGATCTGTCCCTCCTCAGAACCTGGTGTGACACTTTGTAATACTCACAGTTCCATCTAAATTGTATGTGACTCCAGGCCTTACAGAAGTGGCTGCTATACTTCAGTCTGGCTGCAGGAAGCAGCTTTGGTTCAGGCCTAGCACAGGCCTTCTAACATGGCTACAGAGAAGCCATATTGTTACACGAGAAACCATGGAATTAATTCCCTGAGATCAAAGGATGGTACCCAGCTCTTGAAAGACAATTAAGCCATTGCTTCTTGCAGAAAGAAGCACTTTTAGGAGCTCCTGAATCGCCCCTCCATCATAGTCCCAGAATCCCTTGATTGAATCCCTCAGTAACTGCCTAGGAATGATCTTGCAATACTTCTTACCCTGGATGAGGTCCAAGCTGCCATCAAAGCGATGAAGAGCAACAAGGCAACTGGACTGGATGGAATCCCTGCCAAAATCTTCAAAGAAGGCGGGCCAGAGATCCACAAACAATTCCATTTCCTGATTCTCAAGATCTGGAATAGGGAGCAGACACTGCGAGAGTTCAGAGACACACAGACTGTCAGTCTGTTGATGAAGGGTGACAAATCAGACTGTGGAAACTATTGTGGCAACTCCCTCCTGGCAACGACAGGTAAAGTCTTAGCTCAAATCCTTGCCAATAGACTCCTGCCACACACAGAAGAAATTCTTCCCGAGTCCCAGTGTGGCTTCCGATCATTCCAAGGAACAGTGGACATGATCTTCACTGCATGGCAATTGCAGGAAAAACAAAATGAAGCCTTAGATGTGAAGTACCCATGGGGACATCTCTTGAAGTTGATAGGGCAGACATTCGAATGCATCGTTGCTGCTATGGAGGTGTGCGATTGGCCCGAAATTATCTAGAGTCACCAAAGCAGCTGGGCAAGCCCGGGTTGGTTTTGGTCTGATAAATGCACATATCCCCGGAGGTCAGCACTCGTCAGCATGTATTAGCTCTAGAATTACCACAGTTATCCAAGTAAGGCTTGGAGCGATCCAAGGAACCCTAACTAATTTAATGAGCCATTTGCAGTTTCACTGTAACGCCCTTGTTTACTTAGACCATGCATGGCTTAATCTTTGAGACAAGCATATGCTACAGGCAGGATCAACTAGGTAGCTGCGCTCTGGGAGAGGAAGACTCATAGACTTTAAGGTCAGAAAGGACCATTATGATCATCTAGTCTGACCCCGTGTACAGTACAGGCCACAGAATCTCACCCACCCCTCCTAGAATAATCCTCTCACCTATATCTCAGATATTGAAGCCTTCAAATACTTGGAAGACCCCAAGATGCAGAGATCCTCCAGCTGTGATCTGTACCCCATGCTACAGAGGAAGGCGAAAAACCTCCAGGGTCTCTGCCAATCTACCCTGGAGGAAAATTCCTTCCCGACCCCAAATATGGCGATCAGCTAAACCCTGAGCATGTGGGCAAGACTCACCAGCCAGACACCCAGAAAGTTCTCTATAATAACTCCTATCATCCCTCCATTGACCTATTTCCCACTGATAATGAATGGTCAATTAGTTACCAAGATCATATTCTCTCATCAAACCATCCCCTTCATAAACCCATCTAGTTTAATCTTGAAACCCCTCCACCCTGCAGGCCCCGCCGGCCTTCCCCCCACAGGGAAGGAGCAGGTGCCCGCAGTGCGGCATGGGGGACTGACAGGAACGACGAGCCCCATGAGGTCAGCCCCGGGCATGGTGAAAGGAGAAAGAGGGAGAGAGACACAGAGACAGGAGAGTGGAGGACCAGTGGGGGACCCCCACGCCTCACCCTGGGGCTTTCCTTCCCCACTGTCTCCTAGAGGGCCCCGGGAGCTACCCAAGTACAGCGGAAGAGACGGGGTGAGCCTCCAAAAAGTGCCCCCCCCCCGTCCCTGCGCTTTTCCAGGCAGCCTGAGTTATAGTGCCGCACAAAAGGAACTGACTGCTCCCTGTGGCTCTCTGCTGCAGGAAGTGGGGGAGGCTTTGTATGCTGTCCCAATCACCAGCAAAATCTCTCAACTCCTAGTGGCTAGAAACTGGCCAATTGGAATTGAGAGGTTTTGTTGGGGGCAGGGGTAGCATGTAAAGCCGCTTCCCACAGCACAGAGTCACAGGGAACAGAGCCATCTGGGGCTTCTGGCAGGCAAGAAAGCCTGCCTGAGAGTACTGCTGACCAGGAGCAGCTTAGGTAAGTGCTTCCCAGCAAGAGCCTGCTTCAGGCACTTCACTCTCTCCCCTACCCCAACCCATGTCCAGATCCTGCACTCCTCTCTTACATCCCTCCCGCATGGAAGAGTCCTCTCCTAAACCATAGTTCCTCCTGGGCCCTGCATGCCAATCCCCTGCCCCAGGTCACAACCCCCTCCTTCATTCAAACTCCCTCTCTTTCTCTCCCCCACATGCTCTCTTGCACCCCAGTTCCCTACCCCAACCTCCCTTAAGCACCCATCCTCCGTCCCAGACCCCATATCTCCTCCATAGAGAAATGCAGCCCTCGACCAATTACCAAAATCTTTGGAATGATCCCGTCACGTTTTTGGATTTTAAAGGGAGCAGCCAGATCATTGCTGCGCCCACAGAGAAGTGTTTGCCCCAAAGTCTATACAAAGGGGGCCATGTGAGGTGTAAAATGAATGCTTATGTTCTACTGGTTCTATATATGCTATTCATGTACCTGTGTGATCGCTGTATATGGAGTTATGAATGTAGACTCTATGCTTGTACTGTGAATGTTCTCTGCCTGAGGCAGAGCAGTGGGCCTGAACTGCCTTCTTTAAGGAAGCAAAGTCCAGTCAATGACTGTGCTAATTAGCGAGGTTCCAGCAACAATGGCTCTCAAGGTGCCCAGTGCATACCTGAGGAATGTGTCTGGAACCCGCAAACCAACCAATATCATAGCTGCTGACATGGGAAGCAAGGAGATACCAGGGATGGATATAAAATGCCATGAGACAAACTCCATCTTGCCTTCAATTCTGGTACTGATTCCAGATGCAGCCTTGCGAGAAATAGCGCGCTGGGAAGAATTGTTGGCCCATCCTGACATAGAATGTACACCAGAGATTTTTAAGATAGCAACTTGTAACATCTCTGCTGAGCGCCTGCATTGAGAACTTGGTGATTCGATGCACATAACATATTCTCCTTAACCACCTTACTCTCATGCTTTTCTTTTTTTGTTAATAAACCTTTACATTCTAAAGATAGGATACACAAAGAACAAATTAAAAATCACTTAGGAAAGTTAGATGTCAGCAAGTCACCAGGTCCTGATGAAATGCATCCCAGGATACTCAAGGAGCTGATAGAGGAGGTATCTGAGCCTTTAGCTATGATCTTTGAAAAATCATGGCAGACAGGGGAGATTCCAGAAGACTGGAAAAGGGCAAATATTGTGCCCATCTATAAAAAGGGGAATAAGAACAACCCAGGAAACTACAGACCGGTCAGTTTAACGTCTGTCCCAGGGAAGATAATGGAGCAGGTAATTAAGGAAATCATATGCAAACACTTGGAAGGTAATAAAGTGATAGGGAATAGCCAGCATGGGTTTATGAAGAACAAGTCATGCCAAACTAATCAGATAGCTTTCTTTGATAGGATAACGAGCCTTGTGGATAAGGGAGAAGCGGTGGATGTCATATACCTAGACTTTAGTAAGGCATTTGATACGGTCTCGCATGATATTCTTATTGATAAACTAGGCAAATATAACTTAGATAGGGCCACAATAAGATGGGTGCATAATTGGCTGGATAACCGTAGTCAGAGAGTTGTTGTTAACGGTTCTAAATCCTGCTGGAAAGGGATAACAAGTGGAGTTCCTCAAGGGTCTGTTTTGGGACCCATACTGTTCAATATCTTCATCAATGATGTAGATATTGGGATAGAGAGTACGCTTATTAAGTTTGCAGATGATACCAAACTGGGTGGGGTTGCAACTTCTTTGGAGGATAGGGACATAATTCAAAATGACCTTAGCAAGTTAGAGAAATGGTCAGAGGTAAACAGGATGAGGTTTAATAAAGAGAAATGCAAAGTGCTCCACTTAGGAAGGAACAATCAGTTCCATACATACAAGATGGGAAGCGACTGTCTAGGAAGGAGCATGGCGGAAAGGGATCTAGGGGTCATAGTGGACCACAAGTTGAATATGAGTCAACAGTGTGATGCTGTTGCAAAAAAAGCAAATATGATTCTAGGTTGTATCAACAGGTGTGTTGTAAGCAAAACTCGTGAAGTCATTCTGCCGCTCTACTCTGCACTAGTTAGGCCTCAGCTGGAGTACTGTGTCCAGTTCTGGGCGCCACATTTCAAGAAAGATGTGGAGAAATTGGAAAGGGTACAGAGAAGAGCAACAAGAATGATTAAAGGTCTAGAGAACATGACCTATGAAGCCAGGCTTCATGAACTGGGCTTGTTTAGTTTGGAAAAAAGAAGATTAAGGGGGGACATGATAGCGGTTTTCAAATATCTAAAAGGGTGTCACAAGGAGGAAGGAGAAAATTTGTTCCTCTTGGTTTCTGAGGACAGGACAAGGAGTAATGGGCTTAAAGTGCAGCAGGGGAGGTTTAGATTGGACATTAGGAAAAAATTCCTAACTGTCAGGGTGGTCAAATATTGGAATAAATTGCCAAGGGAGGTGGTGGAATCTCCCTCTCTGGAGATATTTAAGAACAGGTTAGATAGACATCTGTCAGGGATGGTGTAGACAGAGCTTGATCCTGCCTTGAGGGCGGGGGGCTGGACTCGATGACCTCTCGAGGTCCCTTCCAGTCCTATGATTCTATATCAATTCACTGGGAACTGTGGCTGGTTTCTTGGGACCAGAAGAACCTGTTCGGGGTATGTGAGATTGGGTTCTATAACCCCTCACCGGTGTATTAGACCTGGGGCTGATTGTGGCACAGGGAGAACTGGGATGTCTGAGGGGTTTTGCTTCTGAGGCTTCCTGCTGGGTGGGTTGGTATCTGAAGCGATCAGTGTGACTGGTTTGCGGCCTATTTAGGAAGGGCCTCCAGTCAGTGGCTGTATGGAGCCCTGGTTTTGAGCAATTCGCCCTGAGTGGACTTCCTCAGTGGTGCCCAGACCCGTCCAGGTCCATCACATCCCCCCATCAAAAATTATTGCCCACCCCGCCACAGATAATAGGGACATAACGGTACAGATTCAGCATAGGGTTTGAGAGGACAGAATGATAGATAGAGATGTTTTGATTGAACAGTCATGTACAAGATAATGGGTGGTATCCAGGTAAGTCAAAGGATGGCAACCTGATATGTCAAAAGAGATGTGTAACTTGTTTATACCTGAGTATAAATATAATCCAACTTAAATGTATACCTGAAATTAAAAAACATAGCAAGAGACCTAAAAAAGAGTCACAGTGGCTTAACCACCATGTAAAAGAAGCAGTGAGGGACAAAAAGGTATCTTTTAAGAAGTGGAAGTCCAATCCTAGTGAAATAAATAGAAAGGAACGTAAACACTGTCAAATCAAGTGTAAAAATGTAATAAGAAAAGCAAAAAAAGATTTTGAGGAACAGCTAGCTAAAAACTCAAAAAGAAATAACAAAATTTTTTTTAAGTACATTAGAAGCAGGAAGCCTGCTAAAAAGCCTGTGGGTCCCCTAGACAATCGAGCTATAAAAGGAGCAATCAAGGATGATAAAGCCATTGCGGAGAAACTAAATGATTTCTTTGCTTCAGTCTTCACGGCTGAGGATGTTAGGGAGATTCCCGAATCTGCACCGTCCTTTGTGGGTGATGAATCTGAGGAACTGTCCTGGATTGAAGTGTCATTAGTGCAGGTTATGGAACAAATAGAAAAACTTAACGTTAACAAATCACCAGGACCGGATGGCATTCATCCAAAGGTTCTAAAAGAACTCAAATGGGAAATTGCTGAACTATTATCTGAGGTTTGTAACCTATCCTTTAAATCGGCTTCTGTACCTAATGACTGGAATGTAGCCAACGTGACACCAATATTTAAAAAGGGCTCTAGAGGCGATCCTGGCAATTACAGACCACTGCCAACCTGAGAGCAGACCTATGTAACTTTGTTCTCACCCACAATTATTTCCAGTTTGAGAACAACTTATACCTCCAGATCAGCAGTACAGACATGGGTACATGCATGGCCCCACAGTATGCTAATATCTTTATGGCTGACCTAGAACAATGCTTCCTCAACTCTCGTCCCCTTTTACCCTTCTCTACTTATGCTACATCAATGACATCTTTATGATCTGGACGCATGGCCAAGAAACACTGGAGACATTCCACAGAGATTTCAACAACCTAAACCCCACCATCAACCTCAGCCTGGACCATTCTACACGAGAGATCCATTTCCTGGACACCACAGTACAAATCAACAATGGAAAATTAGACACCACCCTCTACAGAAAACCCACTGACTCATACAGTTACCTACATGCTTCCAGCTCCCATCCAGCACACACCATACGATCCATCATACAACCGCATCTGCTCTAACCCCACTGACAGAGACCAGAAGCTTCAGGATCTCTACCAAGCATTTATAAACCTCAACTACCCACCCGGAGAAATAAAAAAGCAAATTGAAAGAGCCAGACGAATACCTAGAAACCATCTACTTCAAGACAGACCCAAGAAAACCAACAATAGAACACCACTTGTCATCACCTACAACCCCCAACTTAAACCTGTCCAACACATTATCAATAAACTACAGCCTATATTGGAACAGGATACCATACTCAAAGGCCTCTGGGAGACAGACCCATAGTCTCCTATAGACAACCACCTAACCTCAAGATGATTCTTACCAACCACCACAGGACATACCACACTAATACCAACCCTGGTACCTTCCCTTGCAACAAACCCCATTGCCAGCTTTGTCCACATATTCACTCTGCTGATACCATTATTGGACCTAACCAAGTGAGTTATAAGATCAAGAACACATATTCCTGCGCATCCAGAAATATAATTTATGCTATCATGTGCCAAAAGTGTCTGTCTGCTTTGTACATTGGACAAACGTCTCAGACACTTCGCCAAAGGATCAATGCCCACAAAACAGATATTAGACAGGATCACAGGGAAAAAACAGTTTCTTGCCATTTCAACCAGAAAGGACACTGTCTCAACGACTTAATTACCTGCATCCTGCTTCAGAAGCCTTTTAAATCTGCACTTGAAAGGGAATCCTCTGAACTGTCATTCATGCTAAAATTCAACACTCTACGTGGGGGGCTCAACAAAGACTCTAGCTATCTTACCCATTACAAAGATAGCTTCCCCAATTATCACCTCTAATACCATTAGCTCACAGACATTTACCTCCCCCCCACATCCCCTTCTGTTCTGAAATTTGATTTGTCCTTTTCATATGTGTTCACTTTTTTTTTAATTGTATCCTTTGGTATATATGGTTGTGACTATTTTCTTCCACTATTTGATCTGAGGAAGTGGGTCTGGCCCACGAAAGCTCATCATCTAATAAACCATCTTGTTAGTCTTTAAAGTGCTACATAGTCCTGTATTTTGTTACATATTTTGAAGTTACTAGGACTATCAATAGGTGGGGAAGCGGTCTTTGTACTGTGTAAGGTAACTAGCATCTTTATTAAGGCCCATTCGTAATGTGTCGAATTTAAGCATGATAATCCTAGTAACTCCAGATTAGCTACTCAATGATTTACAAATAGCTATTTCCTCCTTCCCTCTCCCTCGCCCCCACCTTCTGTTCTAAAATCTGATTTGTTAGTTTATAATGTGTTCACTTCATTGTATTCCTTTGTTATATATGGTCATGCCCAGGGCTCGACAATCTATTGAATCTACTTGCCCGTGGCAAGTAGATTTCAGCCCGGCGCCCCATTACTGGCGATGCATGCATGCGCAATGTGGCTCTTGCGCATGCGCAATGCGGGACTGGCGAGCAGCTTTCGCCGCAGTTCGTCAAGCCCTGGTCATGCCAATTCTCTTTCAGAATATGATCTGAAGAAGTGGGTCTGGCCCATGAAAGACCATCATCTAATAAACTAAGTTGTTAGTCTCTAAAGTGCTACATATTGTTTTCCTTTTGTTTTACTAAGACCAAACTAATGTGGCTACCTCTCTATCACTATTCTACATATTTTGAGAGGAACCTGGCACTAATGCAAGTGAGGTCTCTTCCACCTCTCCTATAAGAGAAGTTAGATTTTAGGAGGTGATAAAGAAAAGACATCCCATCTGGGAGTTCTCCGGTCAGGATTCTCTTGGTGCTTTATCCAGTAATGGAAAAGGCTAGGAGCACCAGTAATTCTCCAAATACCAGCTCCTAGTGACCATTTTTCAAATTCCCTTGCCTGGTGAGTTCACAATGAGCCAGCCAAAGGAGAAACAAGAACTAAAATTCCCCAAATCCAGAAGGGAAACTCTTGATTTTAGAAGAAGAAAATATGCTACCTCATGATCCCCTCCCCCCTTATTTAAATCTCTAGCTTTGAAAATGTGAAATGCTAAATGAATATTGAATATTTCACAATGGTGCAAGGAGGAGACAATAGTCTGAAACAAGAAATGACTGCTCCCTTACTGCTATTTCTGGAATGAAAGAGGGGAGAACGCTACGCCAGAAGTGTGGCATGACACAAGAAAAAAGGCAGAGGGGGCACTCACCTGCAGGGTTTTCTTAGCTTGCTCCAAGTTTTCAGCATAGTGGCCATAGAGCTCCAATTTCTGACAGAAACCCTTCAATCCTAGCCCCAAGTGCCCTCTCTCCAAGTGAAGCAGCAGAATCCTGTGTGCAAAGAGAGTAGCTCACAGAGAGGGCTACATGATAAACAACTTTGCCTTGGCTCCATCTAATTCAAGTCCTGTTTCATCCCTTATTTTGAGGTCTGTCATTCCTCTCACATCAAGAAATTAAATCCAGGATACACACTCAAGGAATCAAGTATGAACTAAACAAAATATTTTCTAAAACATTGGGAAGCAAGTGATCAGTATGTGAGGAGGCATATGAACATTTTAGTTTAATAATATAGTACCGGATATGCACAATAGCTTATGGACATTATAAAAAATACACGGTTAGAATCAACAACTACAAAAACTAGAAACAAATTTTAAACACACAAATTAAAAATATAAAATTAGACCTTTCCTAAAATCAGTTACACCTGTAAAATCACCATATGTAAAATGATATATGAAATAAGAAAAAAATATTACAAGCATATTATTTCACTGGGGTGAAAAATGGCTTCCCTTTCATATACTTTTTTTTCTTATTTTAATAGCTGGTCAGGCAAATAGATGAACAGCCCAAATAACTGAAACATTTTCAATATATAGCAAAGATTCTAATTTCTGAGCTGATATGGTAAAAGGCACCTAGGCTAGGAATGGAGATAAACTATATTTCCTGGGTGGCAGTACAGGTTACAAGACAATAAACAAATGATTTAGTCTTCAACCTGGTTAGACTGGAATGGACAAAGAATTACATCTCGAGATACTGGCGTACCTCCCTTCCAAATAGGCCCTCCCCTTATAGATTTGTTCAAAGTATGAAGAAGTTACTCACCCCGTGCAGTAAAGATGGTTCTTTGAGAGGTATTTCCCTATGGGTGCTCCACTCAGGTCTCAGTGCATCCTTGCGTTGGCGATTGGAGATTTTTGCCTAGCAGTGCCTTACCGTGTTGCGCATGCACAACTGCTGTCTGATTTCATCTGTTAGCTGTGTGTGTGGCACAGGCCCCACTCCATTCCTTTTCTATCAGAAATCCTCTAACAGACTCCACGTGGGGAGGAAGAGAGGGTCGTGGAGCACCTATAGGGACACACATCTCGAAGAACCATCTTTACTATACAGGGAGAGCAACTTCTTCTTCTCCTTCGAATGGTGTCTCTGTGGGTGCTCCACTCAGGTGATTAGCTCACCTACCACTCACGGTGGTAGGTCTTGGAGTTGAATGTGAGAAGAGGCAAGGACCGCATCAGCTAAAGTGGTGGTAGGTGTGGGTCCCCACTGTAGAGCTTAGTGTTGTGCGAAAGTGTGATGTGAAGACCATGTCGCTGCTCTACAGATATCCACAAAGGCTATGTTCTGCAGGAAAGCAGTTGATGTGGCCATCGCACGAGTGGAATATGCTGTAATAGTCTGAGGTGGTTCCCTTCTCCGAAGATGGTATGAGGTGTGTATGTAATTGGCTATCCACTTGGTGATACGCTGCGCGGAGATGGTTGTTCCCCTATGGCCTGGACATAGAAATAAAAAGCCTGTCTGATTTCCTGAATCCCTTGGTTCTAGTTATGTAGAATGCAAGGGGATGTCTAGTGTCCAAAACTCTGGGGTTTTGGAAAATAAGTAGGTAAGTAAATGGGCTCATTAATATGGAAGTCTGATATAACTTTAGGAAGGAACTTTGAGTGAGGTCTAAGGATTGTCCTTAGTAAAAACAGTATACGGTGGATGAGCCATTAGGGCTGCAATTTTGCTTACACTTCTGACAGAGGTTATAGTTACTATGAAGGCCACTTTCATAGCTAGATGTTGTGGAGAGACTGTAGCTTGTGGTTTGAAAGGTGGCCTTGTGAATGTGCTGAGCACTAGGTTTCTGTCCCAAGATGGCACCGGTGGACGTAAATGTAGACATGTCTTTCGCAAGCCCACTAAGAAGCACTTTGTAATGGAATATGTGAAGAGTGAGAGGCCGTCCAATGTCTCATGGAAAACAGTGATGCCGGACAGGTGGACACGAATGGAGCTGATAGAGAGGCCTGTATCACTAAGATCCATCAGGTATTTGAGTATAGTAGGTATCGGAATAGTATTTTGTTACAGTTGTCGTTGACCGCACCATACTTGAAATAGTCTCCATTTGTCTTAGTAGCTTTGTCATGGAGGAGCAACGACTATGCAAGAAGATCTGCTTCACTCTCTCAGAACCACATTTTGGAACCATAAAGAAACCATACCATGAATTTGAGAGCCCTTAGGTTGGGGTGGAGTGTTTTGCCTTGATGTTGGGTCAGAAGATAGGGTGTGATGGGAAGGGTAATCAGGTGAGCAATCAGTAGATGACTCAGGGGAATCATGGTTGCCTTGGCCAGTAGGGCACAATTAGAATCACTGTGGCTTGGTGTGACGGCGCGTTGGGGGTCCCCCGTCTCCTGCACCCCGAAATGGCACAAACAGACTGCACCAGCCGGTGGAATAGAGGAAGTTTATTGCCTCTCCAGGATACAGCACAGCACAGATGTAATCTGGTCACAGAGCTGGGCTAGGATGCCTCAGGCCCCCTTGAGATGGGGGGAGACTGGGCCCCTAAACTCCAGCCCCTCTCCCTAGGCTATCTCCTCCATGCTCCCAGACAGCAACTAACTAACCCTCTTCCAGCCCTGCCCCCCAGCCAGGGCAGCATTCCACCTTCCTTTGTTCCTCTCCATGGGGGGTGTCTGGCCATACCGGTTGAGAGGTCCCTTTGCATAGTGACTCATCCTGTTTTGCTGGGTCATGGTACCCACGGCAGCCAGTGGGGGTTACCCCAGAGCCAGCAGCATAGAAACCAGCCAGGTACCCCCACTACGTCACACTTGGTCTGCACAAATCTTGTTGATCATGCTGGAAAGCAAGGGGGGACAGTGGAAATGCATACAGAAGGAGAGCAGTCCAGGATATCATAAAGGCATCTCCCTCCGATTTCTTGTCTTGAACCACTCAAAAGCAGAAGTGGTGGTATTTGCAGTTGGCTGATGTCGCAAATAAAGCTCTGCTGAGGCTGAGCTCCCCTTGTGTTGCTCCGAGAAGTCCCTTCTCAGTTTGTCCGCAATGATGTTCTGTTGGCCTGGTATGTACATTGCCATTGTTGTTCTTCAGGCACCAGTTCCAGAACTTGATTGCCTCTGCACATAGAGAACGTGATTGGGTACCCCCATCTGTTGATGTAAAACATACAGAGTGTGTTGTCCATCAGGACATGTATAGTTTTGCCTCGAATGAGGGGAAGCGTGCACATGCATTGTGAATAGATCTGAATTCCAGAATGTTGATGTGAAGTCACATCTTGGATCAAACAATACAAGTATGCAGGGGCAAGATTAGAAAGGCAAAGGCACAAAACGAACTCTATCTAGCTAGAGACATAAAGGATAACAAGAAGACATTCTATAAATATATTAGAAGCAAGAGGAAGACCAAAGACAGGCCCGGACAAGGTAGGCCCATTACTCACACATACAGAATGGGAAGTGACTGTCTAGGAAGGAGTACTGCAGAAAGGGATCATAGTGGACCACAGGCTAAATATGGGCCAAGTATGACACTGTTGCAAAAAAAGACAACCATGATCCTGGGATGCATTAGCAGGAGTGTTGTGAGCAAGACATGAGATGTCATTCTTCTGCTCTACTCTGCACTGATTAGGCCTCAGTTGAAGTATTGTGTCCAGTTCTGGGCACATTTCAAAAAAGATGTGGAGAAATTGCAGAGGGTCCAGAGAAGAGCAACAAATATGATTGAAGGTCTAAAAAACATGAGCTATGAGGCAAGGCTGAAGGAATTGGGCTTGATTAGTTTGGAAAAGAGAAGACTGAGAGGGGACATGAGAGCGGTTTTCAAGTATCTAAAAGGGTGCCATGGGGGGAGGGGGTTGTTCTCCTTGGCCACTGAGGATAGGACAAGAAGCAATGGACTTAAACTGCAGGAAGGGAGCTTTAGGTTGGACATTAGGAAAAACTTCCTAACTGTTAGGGTGGTTAAACACTGGAATAAACTGCCCAGGGAGGTTGTGGAATCTCCATCACTGGAGATATCTAAGAGCAGGTTAGAGAGACACCTGTCAGGGATGATAAAGCCCATGCTTGGTCCTGTTATGAGGGCAGGGGACTGGACTTGATGATCTGTTGAGGTCCCTTCCAGTTCTAGTATTCTATGATTTGTGAGAGGGGTCCTTGAAGAGGGACAGGGAAGGAGGTTGGGTAAGAGGCATAGAAACTAAGGGGATTGTGTAAGCCAGTATTGACGATCTCAAGGACCCATTTGTCTAATGTGATGAGGGCCCAGTGATGACAAAGGGGCCTCAGACACTAGTGGAAAATAGGGGTCATATGCATTTGATTGCTGGGGCTGTCACTGAGACCCTTGACCACATCTTTAAATTGGCTGCTTGAATGTAGTGGGTTGATTGTTGGAGGGCTGGTTGTGTTGCGCTCTCCTTCTGTTGGACCATTGTTTGGATCTGTGATTTTATGGTCTCTGCTGCTATCTCTGGTAGCTGATATCTCTCAGTCTTGGATACCTGCACCTCCTATTTGGTGGGGTGTACATCCCTACGGTTCTCAGCGTGGTGCAAGAGTCCTTCATTGAATGGAGGGCTTCATCGGCTTGGGCCGCAAGTGTTGGTTCCTGTCAAAGAGAAGGTCTTCTACTTTGGTCTGCGGCTCCCTTGGGACTCCGGAAGATTGTAACCATGAAGCCCTGCGCATGACTATTGCAGTGGCTGTAGTAGCCCTGACCACTGTATCAGCCATGTCCATAGATGCCTGACGGGTTGTTCATGTTATAGATTAACCCTCCTTAATTATAGATTGGAGCAGAGGTCTCTTTTGCTCAGTGAGGTCATGCAAGAGCTCTTGTAGCCTTGTGTAATTCAAGTGGTCCTAGTTAACCAGGAGAGTGGTGTAATTCAATATTCGGAACTGGAGGGTGGCAGAGGAATAAACTTTTCTGCCAAAAATGTTTAACCACCATGAAGCCCTGCGCATGACTATTGCAGTGGCTGTAGTAGCCCTGACCACTGTATCAGCCATGTCCATAGATGCCTGACGGGTTGTTCATGTTATAGATTAACCCTCCTTAATTATAGATTGGAGCAGAGGTCTCTTTTGCTCAGTGAGGTCATGCAAGAGCTCTTGTAGCCTTGTGTAATTCAAGTGGTCCTAGTTAACCAGGAGAGTGGTGTAATTCAATATTCGGAACTGGAGGGTGGCAGAGGAATAAACTTTTCTGCCAAAAATGTTTAACCACTTGTGCTCCTCGTCCTGTGGCATGGACTTATACAGGGGTTGTCTAGATCTGGGATTGACCGAGTCCACGACCAATGAATTTGGTTGAGGATGAGAAAAAAAAAATCTATGTCCTTAGTTGGGACAAAGTATTTTCTGTCTGCTCTGTTGTTGGTAGGAGAGCTAGAGACTGGTTTTTGCCAGAGTACCTCTAATGGTTCCATAATAGCTTCGTTGATTAGTAACACTATTTTAGAAGATGTCGCTGGTGGGAGTATCTGGAGTAATTTGTGTTGGCTTTCTTGTACTTCCTGCAGTTCAATATCCTGGGATTGAGCTACCCATTTAAACAAATCCTGAAACTGCCTCAGGTCGTCTGCAGGTAGAAAGGATGATGAGGGAAAGACAGCCTCATCTGGAGAAGAGGAAGACTGTGGAACCGGAGAGGAACTGTTCGAATCGGAATGAGGTAACTTGTCATCTTCGTCCAATGACTCAGCCTGGGACATTACAGAAAGTGAGTGTGGAGGACGAGACAGTGAGGAGTGTGCAGTGGTAGCCAGAGAACGTGTTATCGTATGTGCGGGTGTCGATACCTCTCTCTCGCGTGATCAGTGACTGTGCGAAGAATGGGAGCGGTAATGATTCCAGGGCTCCCAAGGGGACCATTGTGGTTGGAACAGCTGTGGTGGGTAAGGCCAAAGGTGACTAAATCATGGGTATTGCGGAGAGAGGTATAGTGGTCAGCGCTGAGAGGAATGCCACAAAGTCATTGAACCCATTGGCAAAGAGTGCTGTTAAGAAAACCTGCTCTCCTGTCCAGTGCCATGCCCAGTGAGGATGATGTAGGTAAGAAATATGTTCTAAAGATTGTTGGTGTGGATGAGGCTGGTGGATTCTGGGAAAATGCGGTGGTAAAGAGGTGCTCGGCACCAAGGGAGATAGTGCACGTGGCTGTGGCACTCGGTGCTAGGTGTCAACTGTTTTAGGAGAAGCCTTATTGGTTCTGATCCCAGGACATGCTTATGTTCCGACTGGCGGGAACCAGAATGTTGACTCGGTGCCGAGGTGTCCATTGGCACTAGTGGTGGTGGCATATCAGAGTTCATCAGTGCCGACCAAGGAGCGGTAACGGTGCGGAGAAGCTAGACTTCCTTTTTGGCTCCACTCTCTTTGTAGCCACTGTTGGCTTCTGTGTGGTGGTGGCTTCTGTGTGGTGCCGGAAATAGATGGCACCAGTGAATGGGTGGCATGGGATGTGGATGGCAAAGATAATGCTGGAGAGGCCTAGGACACGCGGAAAACCCTTGAGGGTGATGAAATAGCCCTCTTACGAGGCGTTAACGACTCTGGTGGTTGCAGGGATTTCTCCCATAGGAAGTTCTTTAGTCTCATTTCTCGGTCTTTTCTGGTTCTAGCCATCATGTTCTGGCAGTGTGGGCACTTCTGCACCACATGGCCCTTGCCAAGACACTTCATGCATGAAGTGTGCCCATCAGATGCGGGCATCGAGTCTCTGCATTAATCACATTTCTTAAAACCAGGAGAGCCTGGCATTTTGAAGAGAAAAACTTGGAGAAAAATCAGAAGGGAAACAAAAACAAAAATGGGTTGGTGGGTTGTTGTTTTTTTAAACAGACAAGAACTAATGAACACTAACTATAAACTGATTAAAACTACTAATGAACTCTAAACTAACTATACTATTTTTATTTTTCCAGTCTGAAAGGAGAGCACTGCTGTGACTCCGTCTTCTGCCAAGGACGGTAGAAAAGGAACTGAGGGGGTCTGATGCCCCATGCACAGCTAATGGATGAAAACTGCATGAGATAGCAACTGTACATGCACGACGTGGGAGGGCACTGCTAGGCAAAAATCTCCAATCACCGGCACAAAGGTGCATTGAGACCTGAGTGGAGCACCCACAGGGACACCACTCAAAAGAGGACCAGAAATTTCTCATAGCTATGAATATTTTGGCTGTCTAGATTGATGTGTACAGGCAGTCCCCGGGTTACGTACAAGATAGAGACTGTAGGTTTGTTCTTAAGTTGAATTTGTATGTAAGTTGGAACTGGTACATATTGTAGGGGAAACTCTAGCCAAACATTTCTCCAGAGCTCAGTTTTATTCTCCCACACCTCACTTCCCTCAGTCCTTTATTCTCAAGCTGAGGTGTCTGCTGAGAAAAACCGCTCGGCGTGTCCCTGGTGTTCTGGAGGTGGGGGGGGGTGGGGGGACGCTAGCTTCGCGTCTCCCTGGTCTGCTGGGAGGAAGCAGCTAATGCGGGGTTGCCTCACCCCGTTTGTAAGTAGGGATCCGATGTAAGTCGGATCCATGTAACCCGGGAACTGCCTGTACGGGTCCACAGCTCCCTGAGCACATCTCCCACCCATGTGTGGTATTCTGTCAAGCAGATCACTTACTGGCTGGAGTAATGTATGGATTCCAGGACCCCAAAGATGGCTTCCCGAACACCTGGCTGCAATGTCCCTTTAGCCTTCAGAATTGCCACAAAATACTAACCAAGAAAGAGAGGAACAGAGAAGGGTTATCTCCCACAATCTACACATGGAAGCAGTTATACCAAGAAACAGAGACCCTCCTCCACAACAACAATTCACAATTCTGTTGGAAGGGCATAATAAGTGGGGTTCTGCAGGGGTCTTTTTTGGGACCAGTTCTGTTCAATATCTTCATCAACGATTTAGATATCAGCAGAAAGTAGCCTTATTAAGTTTGCAGATCATACAAACCTTGGAAGGGGTTGCAATTGCTTTGGAGGATAGGGTCATAATTCAAAATGATCTGGACAAATTGGAGAAATGGTCTGAGGTAAATAGGATGAAGTTTAATAACGATAAATGCAAAGTACTCCACTTAGGAAGGAACAATCAGTTTCACACATACAGAAAGGGAAGCGACTGTCTAGGAGTACTGCAGAAAGGAATCTAGAGGTCATATTGGACTACAAGCTAAATATGAGTCAACAGTGTGATGCTGTTGCAAAACAACCAAATATGATTCTGGGATGTATTAGCAGGAGTGTTGTGAGCAAGACACGAGAAGTCATTCTTCCGCTCTACTATGCGCTGATTAGGTCTCAATTGGGGTACTGTGTCAGTTCTGAGCACCACATTTCAATAACAATGTGGAGAAATTGGAGAAGGTCCAGAGAAGAACAAGAAGAATGATTAAAGGTCTTGAGAACATGACCTATGAAGGAAGACTGAAAGAATTGGGCTTGAATGCTTTGGAAAGGAGAAAACTGAGAGGAGACATGATAGTGGTTTTCAGGTATCTAAAAGGGTGTCACAAGGAGGAGGGAGAAAAATTGTTCTCCTTGGCCTCTGAGGATAAGACAAGAAGCAATAGGCTTAAGCTGCAGCAAGGGAGGTTTAAGCTGGACATTAGGAAAAACTTCCTAACTGTCAGGATGGTTAAACACTGGAATAAGCTGTCTAGGCAGATTGTGGAATCTCCATCTCTGGAGATATTTAAGAGCATGTTAGATAGACATCTATCAGGAATGGTCTAGATGGTGCTGGGTCCTGCCGTGAGAGCAGGGGACTGGACTCGATGACCTCTAGAGGTTCCTTCCAGTTCTAGTGTTCTATGATTATCAATAAAGTTTACAAATAACACAAAAATTGGGAGCATGGTAAATAATGAAGAGGGCAGGTTACTGACACAGAAGTTTCTGGATAACTTGGCAAACTGGATATAAGTAAATAATATATGTTTCAGTGTGGTTAAATGTAAAGTTATGTAGTTAGGAGCAAAGAGTCTAGGCGATGGTAACAAATTAGGAGATTTTATCTAATTTATAAAGGGAAACAAGAAGCCCTTTTATAAATACATTAAAAGCAAGAGGAAGACCAAGGACAGGGTAGGCCCACTGCTTAGTGAGGAGGGAGAAGCAGTAACAGGAAACTTGGAAATGGCAGAGATGCTCAATGACTTCTTTGTTTCGGTCTTCACCGAGAAGTCTGGAGGTGTGCCTAATGTAGTGAATACAAGCAGAGAGAGAGTAAGTTTAGAAGACAGGATACACAAAGAACAAGTTAAAAATCACTTAGGAAAGTTAGATGTCAGCAAGTCACCAGGTCCTGATGAAATGCATCCCAGGATACTCAAGGAGCTGATAGAGGAGGGATCTGAGCCTTTAGCTATGATTTTTGAAAAATCATGGCAGACAGGGGAGATTCCAGAAGACTGGAAAAGGGCAAATATTGTGCCCATCTATAAAAAGGGGAATAAGAACAACCCTGGAAACTACAGACCGGTCAGTTTAACGTCTGTCCCAGGGAAGATAATGGAGCAAATAATTAAGGAAATCATATGCGAACACTTGGAAGGTAATAAAGTGATAGGGAATAGCCAGCATGGGTTTGTGAAGAACAAGTCATGCCAAACTAATCTGATAGCTTTCTTTGATAGGATAACGAGCCTTGTGGATAAGGGAGAAGCGGTGGATGTCATATACCTAGACTTTAGTAAGGCATTTGATACGGTCTCGCCTGATATTCTTATTGATAAACTAGGCAAATATAACTTAGATAGGGCCACGATAAGGGGGGTGCATAATTGGCTGGATAACCGTAGTCAGAGAGTTGTTGTTAACGGTTCTACATCCTGCTGGAAAGGGATAACAAGTGGAGTTCCTCAAGGGTCTGTTTTGGGGCCCGTACTGTTCAATATCTTCATAAATGACTTAGATATTGGGATAGAGAGTACGCTTATTAATTTTGCAGATGATACCAAACCGGGTGGGGTTGCAACTTCTTTGGAGGATAGGGACATAATTCAAAATGACCATAGCAAGTTAGAGAAATGGTCAGAGGTAAACAGCATGAGGTTTAATAAAGAGAAATGCAAAGTGCTCCACTTAGGAAGGAACAATCAGTTCCATACATACAAGATGGGAAGCGACTGTCTAGGAAGGAGCATGGCGGAAAGGGATCTAGGGGTCATTGTGGACCACAAGTTGAATATGAGTCAACGGTGTGATGCTGTTGCAAAAAAAGCAAATATGATTCTAGGTTGTATCAACAGGTGTGTTGTAAGCAAAACTCGTGAAGTCATTCTGCCGCTCTACTCTGCACTAGTTAGGCCTCAGCTGGAGTACTGTGTCCAGTTCTGGGCGCCACATTTCAAGAAAGATGTGGAGAAATTGGAAAGGGTACAGAGAAGAGCGACAAGAATGATTAAAGGTCTAGAGAACATGATCTATGAAGCCAGGCTTCATGAATTGGGCTTGTTTAGTTTGGAAAAAAGAAGATTAAGGGGGGACATGATAGCGGTTTTCAAATATCTAAAAGGGTGGCACAAGGAGGAAGGAGAAAATTTGTTCCTCTTGGTTTCTGAGGACAGGATAAGGAGTAATGGGCTTAATTTGCAGCAGGGGAGGTTTAGAGTGGACATTAGGAAAAAATTCCTAACTGTCAGGGTGGTCAAATATTGGAATAAATTGCCAAGGGAGGTGGTGGAATCTCCCTCTCTGGAGATATTTAAGAACAGGTTAGATAGACATCTGTCAGGGATGGTGTAGACGGAGCTTGGTCCTGCCTTGAGGGCGGGGGGCTGGACTCGATGACCTCTCGAGGTCCCTTCCAGTCCTATGATTCTATGATTCTATCCTTGGAAGATTTGAGGGTGATGATGGATAATCAGTTGAACATAAGCTCCCACATCAGTGCTTTGGCTGAAAGCTCTTATGATCCTTGTGCTGTATTATATAAATAAGGGGAATTTCAGGGTGGTACAAGAAGCAATTTTTATATTTGTATTTTGCACTGGGGTAGCCACTACTGGAAAGCTGTGTTCAGTTCTGGTGCTCACAATTGAAGGAGGATGTTGATAGATTTGAGAAGGTCCAGAGAAGTCATAAGAATGTTAAAAGCGTTAGAAGATATACCTTATAGCAAAAGACTCAAGGAACTCCACCCTGTTAACTTAAAGAGAATATTAAGCAGCAACTTCTTAACAGGTTGAAGCCTTCTGATGCTCTCACAAATCATTACAGGAAGCACTCTGGTTTCTTCATTGATTTACAGTAGTGTTCCTCAACTGGGGGATCATGGGACGGGTATATGGGGATTACAAGTGTGGGGTCAACACAGGATGGTATCATTTTGGGCTTATTCTCTAGAGGGAGGTGCATCCTGGGAAGATGGAGGCTACTGTCTACTGCCTTTCCACTATTGGTTCATGCAATGGCTAGTCAGACAGCCTACATGTAATTGTAGCTAGTTATGTCCCTACCTGTGTTAATGCTGGTGGTTAAGATAGAAGCAGGTCCGCAGCTTGTCAGAGTGGTACAGTGTGAGAGGACAGCACAGGCTGGTGAGTCAGAAGACTCAGTGGTATCCCACTTCTAGATAGCACCTGGAGGGGAACTGGTCACAGGGGGATAGCAAAAAAGGGCCCAACAGCCTCTGAGCTACCACATATCAGGGTGCCACTACATCATGAGGCAGGCAGCCCTAATACTCACTGTGGTCACCAAGTCCAGTTGCTCCAGGTATTTCTGCTCCGTTTTCACCAGTTCCTTGGCTGTCCGGCTACGTTTCCACTCCCAGCGGGCTCTCTGCTCTTCTACAGTGTTGACTGCAGCTGCAGGCTGAAGTAGCATGATGCTTATGACAGAATCAGGGGTGAGGATGCAAACAGCTGATACCTTTACCTGAAGTAATAAAAGCCAGAAACACCTGTGACAACAGTACACCTTCCCTGTGCAGTGTTATTTTGTGCACTGCTACAGTTTATCTTTCATTATGTAGAGCAGGGGTGTGAAACCTCTGGCCTGCAGGCTAGTTGCAGCCTGCTGCTTAATTTCATGCAGCATATCTCCATGTTGTGGGCCAGGATCTGTGGCATGTCCTTGCGGCACCCAAACACACGGAAGATCAGAGAAGCTTCACCTGTTGTCCCCGCTAGCAGTGCCAGCACTGTAGCTCCCATTAGCTAGGAACTCTGGCCAATAGGAATCGCAATAGTGGTGCTTAGGGGGTGGGTGGCGTGCACTGTGCAGAACCGCCTGGCTCTTTTGCCTAGGGGCTGGGCAGGGCAGCCACTTCCAGGAGTGGTGCAGGGCTAAAGCAGGCAGGTAGGGAGGCTGCCTTAGCCCCTTGCACCATTAACTAGGAGGCGTCATAGAATCATAGGACTGGAAGGGACCTCGAGAGGTCATCGAGTCCAGCCCCCCGCCCTCAAGGCAGGACCAAGCTCCGTCTACACCATCCCTGACAGATGTCTATCTAACCTGTTCTTAAATATCTCCAGAGAGGGAGATTCCACCACCTCCCTTGGCAATTTATTCCAATATTTGACCACCCTGACAGTTAGGAATTTTTTCCTAATGTCCAATCTAAACCTCCCCTGCTGCACTTTAAGTCCATTACTCCTTGTCCTGTCCTCAGAAACCAAGAGGAACAAATGTTCTCCTTCCTCCAGTGACAGCCTTTTAGATATTTGAAAACCGCTATCATGTCCCCCCTTAATCTTCTTTTTTCCAAACTAAACAAGCCCAGTTCATGAAACCTGGCTTCATAGGTCATGTTCTCATAGGTAAGCACCGCCAGGGCACAGCTTGCACCCCCACCTCAAACACCCTGCCCAGGTAAGAACCTCTTCCCACCTGTGTTCCCTGTAAACTGCACACTTAGGCTTCCATGTTGCTCTCTCCTGCAGCTACTTCCTGCACCCTCCAGCTAGCTGTGCAGAGTTGAGGGAGGGGGAGAAGAGGGAAGTGCTGATGTCAGCATGCACCCTGGACCCCCTCTCTGCAAAGCAAAGGAGAGGGGACACAGCTTGGCTCAAGAGGCCTCTGACATCTGAAGTCTGAACAGTTAGTGACTAATTTCCTTTTTCTGAGGAGGCAGAGCATTATTTCTAAGATTTCTCCAACAGCAAGTTTACAGCATCCCTCCCCCCCCCCCCCCA